CATTATTATTCAGCAGATTCTAGACTACCATCTCAAAGAGAATTGTTTAATTACCTTAAGTAACTGAATCTTTATTTTTCATGTCTTGCTGTTACATTTAAACTCTGCCTTTGAGAGATCTAAGTATATATTTGTATGCTGGATGCCGAAATTTGAAGAAGGTTAAGAGAGCGGACTTGCAAATAAAGTGAACAATTTTTAATTATCATTTTTAATCATTCAAAAATTTTTAATTATACTCTCACTTGTCTGACAGTAACATGAGCACAAGCCCACGAAATTCATTACTAATGATAAATGAAAGATATATATATGTGTGTGTGTAAGAAAACTAAGGAACATGTAAAAGATAAATTAAAATTTAAATTAGCAACATAAATTTCCCTTCTTTATTCATAAATTAGCAATCTCTCTTTGCACTGCGTCATTTCGAGACCAATCTATGTCATATGACTCTTACATAATTCTGATGATGTAAATGGACCTAAAGCTTAAACAGCCAATAATAATTTTTCAGCAGTATTGATTATTCAATCAAAATGGACTAAGAACGAAAACTAATTCAGTCTGAATTAAGATTTCTTCTTGAATATAACGCACTCGCTTTCCACTCTTCGGCCTACATGGACTGCCGTTTGCTGACCTCTTCTTATTACAAATCTATCAAAAACGTAAACATGTTATAAAAGGTACAGATAATGTGCCAAGTTCTTTGTGGCCGCAACATGTTTACTGATTTGTCTCGGCTGTCAATTTCCTATTCATTATAGATTAGCAGTCTACGCAATCAAAATTCTTGCTCTTTATTACGGATTCAACCTTCTACGATTTACACCATCAATATTGCAAAGCCCTTTTTTATTACACTACATAGACAGAGAGAGAGAGAAATATAGGTGACTATAAATAGCACGCAATACTTGCAGCTTCTATGAAACAGATCAAAAAATGGAGATAAATCCTTAAAAGTATTAGATTTATAAAAGGCATTTGAATGTAGAAGATTTTTTTAATAAGGGAGGGAAGAATCTAGAGAATGACCACAAAACAAACGCGATCAGCTATTTTACTAGCATCCCAAATACGCATATGCTTTTCATGCAGTGGCATGTCTGTTAGTACAATACGATTTGCCACAGCTAGATTTCAAATCGTTTAGCTTGTTAATCAGAACAGTCGTATAAGTTTTATTAAATATTAAATAAATAATAAAACAACTTCGAAATTCAAAATTCGAGCTTCCGGGTGCACATTTCGGTTGGAAGACTAAGTTACTCAAAATTTGATGCGTCTATGTACCGTCGGTTTTTCTCAATGCGAGAAACATAACATACATACAAGCAGATTCTTCATTATTTAATTTTTTTTAAATGAAACAAGATAATAATATTTGGTGGCAACAATGTGAAAAGTGATACGTCGTTTGTAAGTGACATGATGCAAAATCCCATTTTGAGACTAATAGCAACTTTTTTTTTTTTGGGGGGGGGAGGATAATCTAAAAAGTTTAACGTCGCTTATTAAGGTTTTTTTTATGCTTCCGATAAGGTTTTCGTTATGGTTTTTTATGCTTTGGTAACTAACCAACCAAAAGAGTTGAGGAAAAAGAATGCTTTGGTTTCTAAAAATTGTATAATTTATTCATTCATTAGAGCAAGCATGACAGACAGCTCGAGTGAGGAGTACCTTGTTAAAGAACTTTGAAAGGAAATCTGTTACTTGGTTTCATACGAGAAAAACAAAATTATTCATGTAGCGTGGACTAATAACCCGAGCTGCTTATTTTGTTCCATTACTCTGGGTTATTTATCGGATTGGCTCTAACGTCGCTTGACTGCTTTAGCTTGGTCTATAGCCTAGACACTCCGTTAGGTCACCAATCTCTTCTACCGCTGGGAATGGCATGATACTGTTGCAGTTTGTCTAATTCCTGCAGCCTAGAAAGGATCGTTAACTGAAAGATTGGGTCACAGACGCAGAGACCCTGGATAACCAATGGGCTGGTTTATGGACAACCAGTGGGTAAAACGAAAATGATAATTAGTTGTTGCTTCCAGATCCGAGAGGCAATTGCTGTTTAGCAGTAGTTTTACCCAGTGAGTCATTGAGTTATAAAAAGCCGTATAAAAAAATTGAATAACATCATAAATATTCAAATTCAATAGATTTTCAATACTCTGTAGCATTTTTAACTTACAACCCAAATCCGAAATGTTTAATATCATCGTGATTAAACAATTTTTCTCATCTTACAAAAAATTTACGAACAAAGAACACTTATTATTATTATTATTTTCTCCTTCCTTGGCAGTGTTACGTGGAGATTTAACACACAAATGCTGTAAAGTATAAAAAGAAAAACCATAGATTTCTTTTCCAGTGCATAGAGATATAAGAAAAGGAGGGAAGGATAACAGTAAACCATTTCTTTTCCATGAACTGTTGGCAACATGCCTATGTCAATGTAAAAAGCGCACAAGATTTGCGTTTTGCGGAAGTAATTTTAAAGGATATATCAGGAGAGCGGGGAGAAAACAGTTGAATGGGTTTCTCGTGTGAATGCCAAAATACTTGCACAGAAAGCTGTGTGTTTATATTCTCCCCTCGCATGGGAATGGCGATGATGAGGACTAACAAGTATTCAGATCGACGCATTTGACAAATTCGAAAAGAAGGTACGGTCCTTCTGGCAGGATCTCTTTTCTGTTTCTTTCTTTATATTTTACACAGTTTTCAAAACAAAAGATTACAGAAAAGAATAAAGTGACCAATTTAAACTTTCAGAAGATAATGAAACCTTGTTACGTCACTTAATCAATTACTGAAAATATGTTCATGGTTTCGTTCTAACTGGCAGTTGTTTTTTAAACTGACAGTCCTAGTAGAAGTGTTCTTATGTCAGTGTGGTTCGTGCGATCATAATTCGATAATAAGTATAAACTAATATTATCTGATGAGAGTCACAACACTAAGAAACACTTTTCAAGGAATTCTCTTAAGGCTTAAGTTCTTATACTCGTCTCTCCAATTTATAATGTTACTTCGCAGTTATACAATACCACATAATAGTGCCTGCTTAAAGGAAAAACTATACCCTACAGTAAATTCAGTAATGTACCAGTTTTAAATCAATACTGATAATTTTACTATTAGCTACGAGTGAAGAGAACTAACAGTCACCAGATTCAGGAATAAATTATTTTAATTGTCAATAATCTTGAAATAAATCACATTAAAGAGCTCAAAATATTGTTCATCAGCCTAATACAATCTATTTTCAACATTCGAAATCGGGAACTTTCGGAAAAGGGAACGAAAATGGAAAGAGTCTTTCTAGTTTTTAAAAATAAAAAAATCGATTTCAATTTTCAAGCACCTGCCAAAAAATTGACAAATTTTTTATTTGCCTTAAGATGCAAAGTCTGCATACTGAATCGAGCTGTTTATATAAGCTCAAAGTAATTTATGGGAATTACGTTTAGTTATAGCAATACCGTTATGCTTTAACAATGAATAATAACCAATTAGTAAAATTGGAATGGAAATTCTTGGCTTTAATTTGTACATATAATATAAATATCTAGATTACATCAGGGTATCGGTTTGATATCATGTCAATAGATTGGAAACTTCTGCTTTTGTTCCTAACACAATACTGAAATATTATTTATATGGTTTTGCAATATTTTCATGAAATATTGAAGTTCATTTTAAAATATGATCTGAAAAATTAATTTAGGAGGTAGCATTTTCGGTTTAAAAATTTTTTTTAATCATTTTCGAGCTTTTAATACAAGGGGGGGAAAGCAATCTTACATTTATGCAAATTTTAATTCAAACGCTATCGATTCCAAGAGGCATTAAACATAGGTCCCTTTTCGACTGAAGCAAAATATTTTAAGCATTTAGCAAACTTTTTTTTACATCTGAAGATGAGGAACCCATATCTGTATTTATATGAAATTATTTATATTTATATGAAAAGGTGGCACTAGAATAGTCCCACGTCATAATTATTTAAAACGACTCATATAATGGCCAAAATAAATCGTAATATGGCAACACACTTTTTTCCTTTGGAGGGGAAGCGTGTGTATATATGAGAAAGAGCTGCTTAACGCAACATTAAAAAACCAAAAATTAAAAGAAGAGAAAGAGAAATGAAGGGGTACAAAATACAATACATTAAGCGCCAAAAATTAAATACATAGATCGGTGATACGTAAATTAAAATCATGCGATTCTTGACTTAATATGCATATGATGCATTTATGTTAGATAAACTTACATTTTCTAAACGTATAGTCAGATTTTCATATTATAGTTGATAATTAGACAGTTTAAAATATTCACGGTTGATAATTAGATGGCATTTGAGCTTCAAACCAATTTTTCAACATGTTCTCAGCTTTCAAGAAACAGACTTTGCCGTCTCGAGAATCAATTTGTTATTAAGCGTGCTATAACAGGCTCTTAACTTATTATGGCAAAGAATACGAGGGTTATTTGCTTCAAGAGGAATGCGTTCATAAGAAATTTAATCGAAAGTGGTTCGTGGTCCTGTTACACAAGAGGAGACTCCACATATGCACTCGGCCACTTATTTACATAACATTATTTACATTTTTTTCTTGGATATCCAAAAGACAATTTAATAACCTTTGTAGTAACATATAGAAATATTTAATAACATCAGTCTTTTCATAAGATAAGTTTCAAATCAAGCTCTGAATTTTTAAATGAGTACTGGATACACACATACATATTATTTTTAATCAATCATTTTCGTTACCTTGCTGTAACCCAATTCTTCAGAATTTGCACAATGCACCGAGGAAAAAAAATCTCATTTGTTTAGAATTAGAGTAATAACCTTGACTAAGTTCTGCTTTTTTATGCTTATATTTTAAGTGTCTTTGAACTCAGATACTTTTAAGTTCACTTAACGTAAGTTATTTTTTGTTCACTGTGATATAAATAACTCTTAAGGAGGTGAATACCTGCAGTTTTTCAAGGACCTTCTCGTGCTGTTGATATAGGTCTGTGGCTTCTTGAAGGTTGGTCCCTATATCCGTCATCGCCGGCTGCATTTCCTGGATTTTTAATTGGATCCATTCTTTGCTCTAAAAAATAAAAATCATCTACATCAGTTTTTAGATAGTAATAAAAATAACAACAATAATAATCCATTCTTGAAGAAATATGCTTATTAATTGGGTAAAAATGTAGCAAAATTGTTAGGAAACATAAATTTAACAGCAGTTTTATTCTCTAAGAAAAAGTAATAGCTCTTGAAAAAATAAAAGTAACAAACTTATTGTAATTCTGCAAGCGTTTCACGATATATATGACAATCGAAATGTCGTTTATTAATTACACCAGTAGTATAAATGTTCGTTGAATTATGAATTAGAAAACATTAAAAAAATTATATCAAGTAGGTACATTAAAAATAAAATACATATAAAAACTAATAAGAAGCATATCATAACCTTTTTTAAATTCAGTATTTTACATTTTTTGCGATATATTTTGAAATAAATTAAATATTTATTTCAAATCTTCAGTACTTCTGAGAATTAACAATTTATCAGGAAAGGTAAATTAAAGATATGTCGCAAAACTGACAACAGATCTCTGATCTGAATGCATTGCATGGTTGATTTATGTCGCGACAGTGTAATATAATAGCGGCATGAAAAATGAAACGAATGCACTATAGTCTTTTCATGCTAAAATTAAAATGCATTTATTGCAGTGATAATCAAATCAGAATCCAAGCATTTTAACCGACTCAGTAAACCTTTATCAGGAGTTTCGGAAACTTTTCATGAAAACTTAGTTCTTTTATTTTTCTTTACATTATTTCACATATTTCGATAATCATACTTAAATCAATTTTTAAAAAATGCTATGAATATCTTCTAGAATCAATCCTGGAAATGAGATATTGTATAAAATGAGTTGTTTTGAGTCGAATCGTTGTATTATTTCATGAAGATTGATTCTTTTTTCGAATTGAGTAGCTAGCCAAGATCTAAACGTCGCATATTCAATTGATTCCATTTAACTCAAAATAAAATGCCCTTTCCTCAACCCATCATTACAAAATCTCCTTTTCTCAGATCTTGCCAAACAACTTCAGCTGTCGGAACCATCAAAGAGAACATTATCATTCGAAGAAGTTTTTTCCCATTGTGAATCCTTTCCGTATGATTCGTTGGCGTAATCCGATTTATTTTGTTTTATATCACTTTTGAATGTTTTACAGTTTCAAATTCACTCATATTTTAGATATATACTCAATATTTTACTCGATATTTTGGCAAATTCACAATAATTCCTTTATTTCTAGGCTCTCACTAGAAACTATCCCATGGATAAAAGTGAAACCACATAATGTAAATATATCAATCATTTTAATACAATATCCCTAATAAACAAATTTAATTACCGTATATTCCGGCGTATAACATGCACCGGTGCATAACCTTTCACATATTTCAAACTACATTTTTAAATTTTTAGATATATTCGCCGTATAACGCGCACCTTTTTCTTTAAGAAGAATCCGGAGAGATACATCTTTTAAAGTCATTCATTCGAAGATTTTGCGAAATTTTGAAGCAATAGTATATTAGACGGACAAGCGATAAGCGAAACAATATGTGTGTGTGGAGGGGGACTGCTTGAGGAAGTAAATAATTCTACAGAAGTGGTAAGTGCTATTCAATGCAGGTGTGCACAAGAATGTTCTTCTGGAGTTTCGAGAAAAGAGAGACATAATTCCTGTAAGAATGCACTTCTGACCCGAATGAATTCGCGGATTTCGGTTTCAGATGCTTTCTATGAATAAATAATAGATACTTAAACAATAATTAATATGTTTTACGTAAAGGAAAGTATCCGATATTTAAAAATAATCCGATCATAAAAATTTTTAAGTTCATAAGTTGTGCCATTTCTTTTAAATAAACACCATTTAGGTACATGTAGAAATCTAATATCTGTATGCTCTTCTTTTCCTTATGTTTAAATGTATCATTTTTATATCCGGCATATAACGCGCACCCGTAAATTTCAGTACTATGTTTCGTATTAAAAGCAGGCTTTATACATCTACAACAATAACATTTTAATGCTACGATATAAGTAAATATTTTTATATGTATTGTTTTCAGAATTCCATATTTTGGTTCAAAAAATCTTGTAATTCGAAATGATACACGATTTTAAAATGGTGTTTGCATTTCTTATAACGATAAAAATTAAATACGATGTTGTACATGGGAAGTCTATTTAATGTCATTGAAATATTTAAATTATCTGGAGGAATGGTTTTGAAAATCTACTTACTCAACACTTCTCAGATAATCATTGTCTCCCTTATTTCCTTTCTACATACAATGGATACATTACTTATAAGAATCTCAAAAATCGTCCTCCTCAGTTATCCAGATGCTCTTGGGCTGCCTTGATGATATAGTTTCTGTCGTGCAACTTTTTTCAACATTTTTTGAAGCAGGCAGACGTGAAAAAATGAGCAACGTCCTCGCCTGGACTCGAACCACGGACCTCTCGAATACGCGCCGAGCGTGCTGACCACTACATCACGAAGGCGGCAGAAATACATTAAAAATGATTCCTTCTCTCTCTCTTTTTTTTTTTTTTTTTTTTTTTTTTTAAGTAATGGTGCTATATTATAGGAAATTATGCTAAAAGAAATTAAATAGTTAAACTTCTAAGTTTTATTTGAAACATTACGGCTTATGTTAAAATCCATCCTACGCTCCTACTGTTTCATCTACTGCACTAGAATATATAACCGAGAGAAGATTTAAATATGAACAAGACACTAAGTTTACCAGAAAACACTGGCAAATTCAGCCGACAGGAGTAATATTTTTTTATTGCTATCTGGTGTGAGCGATATTCTTACACTCTGGTAATATTACGTAACAGTTCTTGAAGTTGTGAAATTAAGTAAACCAGGCTCAAGGATCTAATTTACGTTCTGAATTGTACATAATTAAACTGACTTTTGTCTGCTATACTGGCGATAAGCGGAAATAAATTTGTGTTCTTTACTTCAAGCTGAAGATAATAATAAATTTTTAATTGCTTCATTTCCGCTGCACTACTTACTTAGTGTTCTGGTTTTGAAAGTGAAAGTGAAACGTAAGATCATTCAACAGTCTAGAAAGTTAGATTTATTTAGATTAAGATCTAACAAAGTTTAAATTGATCAGTTTTAAAAGGACAAAATAGTATATTTGCTCCGGTGCTTCTCAGTTTTGGGGATAAATCATAATTAAGGCTCCGGTGCTTCTTTTACATAACTGAACTACAATTTCAGTAGAAATCTGATCTAAAAAATTTTTATATTTTTGCAATAAAATTATATTACAAATAGCTTACTAAATTTTAATTTATCTCTTTACATTTTATTCAATTTTAATTATTTAATTATTTTAATCTTTAATTATTTTAATAACAATTTAATTAATTAATAATCATTGGTGAAATAATAATTGCAAGATATTAATTATTAATATTAATTAAATGATAATTAATTTGGTAATGATTAATTATTTAATTTCTAAATTAATAATGATTTTAATATTCATTTTATTTATTTATTTACTTTAATTCCTCTTTGCTGACGGTCTTCCATAGGGCTCTGGCACTTCGAATTTTAGAAATGAATGCCTGTATAGAGTATTTAAATTACAGTGGAACCTTGGTTTATGAATGCCTTGGATCACGAATAAATCCCTTCTTGAACAAATTTTAAGCTTGAAAAATATCTTGGATGAGGAACATGTTTCGAGAAACAAATTCGTAAGCCGGAAACTAATGCTACTCCAAAATTCAGTAAATGCAGAGGAGGAAATGTCTTCAGAAAAAAACAGATGGCACAAGTTGCTAGTTATTTGACCCGCGAAATTCGAACTAAATGGGGCAAGCGTTTCATAGAACATTATCACCTTGATATAACAGTCGTAAGCGGCAGTACAAATATTTTCCATGACAACGGATTGTTTTGGGAACACTTTAAAACAAATCACAGAAGCCACAGCAGAAACTTTTAATGGGACAAAGTCTCAACGATTCTCACGTACAAGCGAACGATGTTAAGAGAAAGAAAGGGGGTAAGATATTCTACCATTATTTTCATGTTTTTATTCAAATGTTTTTCAAATTTCCGAGTATTTAAAACCGAAAGGCATAAGAGCCCGTAAACAAATGTAAGCAACTGCATATAATGAGAAATACTCATAGAAGCAATACATAAATTTGAAAAACTGGAAAATGACTTTTTTAATAAAAAAAAGTTTTCTAACATGTATATTATTTAGTGCTATGTAAATTTAACATTATTTTACACTTTTTTTAAAATCTAAATTCATTTACTTATGTTGCTCAAACTCATTGCATTTGCAAAATAAAAAATATCACAAATTTGCTGCGATCGCTTGGGAAGTTCATTTAATCTCTTTTTTAATTTGCTGAAATTCGAATTCTGTATTTTTTCAGTTCAGTTTTGAAAATAATAGATTAGAACAAATGAAAAAAAATATCCTTGGCTATTCAGAGACGGCTTTCAATTTCTTACGCATATATTATGAAGTAATAATAAATATATAATTGAAAATATCTGTTTATTATTCTGTTCGAAGTTCAGCTGGGTTTTAGAAAGAAGTTAATTTATTGCACTCAGTGCACTGGAAGATGGAACATATATGATATGAAAATTAAATAAGAATTGCATATATTGTAGATTCTATGAACCGAATTTCACTGAAATTCAAACCAGCTGTAAATACAAGAATTTCGCTTCTTTTCTTTAAATAAAAATAACACTCCTGGTTGCCATTTGATGAAATTAAAACCTTTACGTTTAAATAAGTCAAAAAAGAGAAAAAATTAGGCAATTGCAATCTATACATTGCAAGTTATTTTTTGTCATCATCGAAGGAACATACGCACATCTGTTATATGTGAATCTGTCTGATGCAGATGTGAATGTCTTACTAAAAAAGTCATAGAGAAATTTTGTAGCCGACGTACACAATGGATGGTTTTAGAAATATTTTTATTAATTATATTGTAAATGTCGGTA